GTGTTTCGTTCTATTGTGCATAGTCAGTACTGACTCAATAGCACCTAACAACAAGTGAAGTCCAAATTCAAAGTGGCCGTTTTAAGGAAAGGCTTTCTAAAACCTTTGCCAGCTCTGGACAAAGCTCTTTATCTCCTCTTAGCATCTGCTCACATCTTGGTCTTCCCCTGGACCTCCGAGCTTCACAGTTCAGAGGCTCCGGACCCAAAAGACAAACTCCACTCCTGGCTCTCCTTTCTCTCTGTCTTCCTTTTCCTTCTTCTTTCCTCCCTCCTTCAGCTCATTCCTCTCCCCTTTCATCTTTGTGGGATCAAAGACAATGCAGGTCACACCCCTGGGGAGAACTCCCTTATATCTGATCCGGGTTCTGATAAGATGAAAGGTTTCTTCTTGGTCTGTTACATCACAGGGCATCATCCTGTAAAAATTGCCCTATGACATCATTTTGACCGGGTCACATACTTTGAGGGAACACAGTTCATTCTGTGACATTAGTGAGGCCCATTCACAGGGAGCACATGTTTGCCACACTGGTCTGTGGGCTACCTTAGTGCTGACTGCCCGCTGTGAAGGGCTTTGAGCTTCCTCAGGAGCCTGCTGGCCTGGTACTGACTTAGCTGCTGGCCAGGTCAGACCTACCCAGCATCTCTGCAGGAGAAGGACCCAGGGGAATCTGCCTTTGTAATGTTGTTGTTGTTGTTAAGTGCCCTTGAGTCAGTTCCAACTCATAGTGACCCTGTATAGCAGGGTTGTCGTTGTTAGGTGCCATCGAGTCTGTACCTACTCATAGCAACACTACGCACAACAGAACAAAACACTGCCCTGTCCTGGGCCAACCTCACAATTGTTGCCATGCTTGAGCCCATTGATGCTGCCACTCTGCCAATCCATCTCATTGGGGATCTTCTTCCTCTTTTTTCCTGAGCCTCCACTTTACCAAACATGATATCCTTCTCCAGAGACAGGTCCATCCTGACAATATGTCCAAAGTATGAGAGACAAAGTCTGGTCATCCTGTCTTTCAGTGGGCACTGTGGCCATGGTACTTTCAATACTCTCCTCCAACACCGTAATTCAAAGGCATCGATTCTTCTACGATCTTCCTTATTCACTGTCCAGCTTTCGCATGCATATGAGGTTATTGAAAATACCAAGGCTTGGGTCAGGTGCACCTTAGTCCTCAAGCTGAAATCTTTGCTCTTCAACACTTTAAAGCAGTCTTGTGCAGCAGATTTGTCTGATGCAATACAGCAGGGGTGGGGGACCTTTTTTCTGCCAAGGGCCATTTGGATATTTATAACATCACTCACGGGCCATAAAAAATTATTAACATAGTATAATGACTGAAATTATGGATGCCTTGGGAGGACCAGACCAGGCATTTCCCATCCCTCTTGAGGAGCAGCTAGTGAGTTTGAACTGCCAACCTGTGGTTCAAACCAACCTTGTGGTCCAGTGTTGATCTTACAGCACCACATGTCTTTCTCCTGTGGAGCGGCTGGTGGGTTTGAACCACTAGTCTTTTGGTTAGCAGGCCAGCACTTCAACTACTGTGCCTCTGAGGCTCCTTACAATAATGTTTTTGTTATTAGGTACTGTCAAGCTGGTTCCTACTCATAGTAACAGTGTGTAGCTTTCCTGTGGCTTAAAATCTTTACGTGAGCAAGAAAGCCTCATCTTTCTCCCATAAAGTGGCTAACATGTGCTTCGTGGTCCAGTGCTTACCCACAGTGTGACCGTGCCTCCTTACATATAGGGCAGAAGACAAGTGTGGCACCTTTACCGTCAACCCACAGCCTCAAGCAGTGACATGAAAGAAGATTCTAGAATATTGTGGTCACAGAATGGCGTGACTCTCTTTGCCTGCAGTTTCCATCTTTGTTTCTGTCCAAACCTCCCCTGCAGTGCTCTCTAATAGAACTTTCCAGAAAGTCAAGGTTCCCAGGGAACTGAACATAAATGCCCATGAAAATACCACATCTTTTTTTGGTTTTAATCTCTTTTGGCTGAAAGCATTTCTAAAGCATATTATAGACCTTACATTTGAGAACAGAATTATACTAAACACATGATCTGTTCCCTAATGGTCCTGGGCAGTTACTGTGAATATAAATGATTCTAATTCGCTTTAATACACTACAGATGTTCTCAGGACGTTCGGCCTTCCGGAGTCATTTTTCTTGGTTTTCTTTCTCTGTGTCATCAGTGACTGTGAGGAGAAAGGTCTTGAATTCAGGTGCCTAGGGTTCAAATCTCCTTCAGCCACTTTGTTGGTGTTGTTAGGTACTATCAAGTTGGTTCCAGAGGAAAACACTGCCCGATCCACCGCCAGGTTTATAGTTGTTAACGTTTGAGCTCTTTGTGGCTGCCTCTGTGCCAATCCATCTCTTTGGAGTTCTTCCTTTTTTTCCCTGACTCTCCACTTAACCAAGTATGATGTCCTTCTCCAGGGACTGGTCCCTCCTGATACATGTTCAAAATATGTGAGATATCATTTTGGGGCAAAGGGAGGGGAGTGATTAACCTTACAGTCTAGGAACGGAGGTCCCTGGGACCATTGGAAGAGAAGAGCAGAGAATGGAACTCTACCCAGAGAAGCAGTGATGCCTGGGATGGAGGCAGAGACAATGATGTGGGGAGATAGAGCGGCTGGAGACTTTGGACCTGGAGAGAGAGAGAGAGAGAGAGAGATGGGCAGTGTGCGGATGGGGGCAGGCTTGCGGGGTGTTACCCTTCGGTTGGTCAATGATACATGGAGGGGATTGTGACCCTGGTAAGGAAACCATGTGCGATGGGATCGATGTGAAGCTGATGTCCTCCCATGAGAACTATCACATAATTCACAATAAAGCATTAAATTAAAAAAAAAAAAAAAAGCAAGTGAGATGTAGTCTTACCCTCTGCACTTCTAAGGAACATTCTGATTGTACATCTTCTAAGACACATGTGCTCCTTCTTCTAGCAGCTCATGTCTAGTCGATATTTTCTACCATTTACAGGCTTTGTGGAGTCCTGGTGTGGCGCTGTGGGTTAATGCACCCGACTGCAAAGCCATTTAAACTACAAGGGTGGTGATTCAAGCTTACCAGGGTGCTCCTTGGAAACCCTAAACAGGGTCGCAACCGACTCAAAAGCACTTCAGAACAACAGCATAGGCTTTGTAGCCATACATGAATTATTTATTCTCTCTTGGCCTCAGCTAAGGGGCCAAGGGGATGCAATGGTTAAGTAATAGACCGCTAACTGGAAGATCGGTGGTTTGAATCCACGATCCTTGGGGGAAAAACCTAGTGAGATCTGCTCCTGTTAAGATCCCCACCTAGGAATCCCTCTGGGGCAGTGGCGCTGTCACATGGGGTTTCTCTGAGTCAGGATCAACTCAGCAGCACACAACACCACAGTATACCTCAACAACTTCCTCACCTGAAGCCAGTGTTGTTGAGTGGCGGCAAGTCTATTCCGGTGCATAGTGACCAACACATAGGGTTTCCAAGGAGCGGCTGGTTGAGTTTGAACTGACAATCTTGTGGTTCAAACTGACCTTGCAATCCCGTACTTTATCCTACAGCATCACACCAGGACTCCTATCTGGTTTCTGAGGAACTGCTGGTGGATTTGAACTGCCAACCTTGTGGCTCACAGTCCAGTGCCAATCCTACAGTGCCACCCCAGGAGTCCATGAAACAAGTGTGGCCATACTGAAAACCTGATGGGGTTACTGGCAACCTTTAAGGTCGGCCCCATAAATCTGGGGAGCTGTCTGGCAGGTGGTGGTGGTGGTGGTGTGAAATTGTACTTCACAGTTACCTTCTCCTTGGCTTCATCAGTTCTGTCGGCATCTGGAAATCCAGTGGGCAAACGTGCTTAGAACTTTCTTGCTGAAATACAAGCAAATACAGTGAGCCTTCTGAAAGCCGGAGCTCAGCGGGACTGCCTTGCTCTCCCAGCTGTTGCCAACTTTCCGCTTTTGACAGGGTGCTTACTGTTCCTGTCTCTTCTAAAAGTCTGACCTCATTTCAGTTTTGTGTTTTCCTTTTCTGACAGGTTTCTGCCTTACACAGTTCCAGCGTTTGCTAGTGTAATTGTAGTTTAGGTCCCTGTGGAGGGAGAATGTGTTTGACATTTCTGAAGAGAAGTGAAACCCGAGAAAGCCACACTTGATAGGACCCCATTGTTTTCCAGGTCTCAAGAGTTTTCCACCTTTGACAGAGTATTGTCTTCACAGTTTTTCTGTCACTCTCTATTAGTGGACTCAAAGGGTCATTTGAATCGCAAGGTCAACGGTTCAAACTAAACCAGCTGCTCGTCGGAAATCCTACACAAGGTCACCATGAGTTGGAACCGACTTGATGGCGCTTAGTGGGAAATACTTGAGTTTTCCTCATCTGACAGTGTTCTGCCTTACAATGGTTCCGGCTTACCCAGGTTTACTGTAGTTTCAAAAGTGGTCTTGTCACTTTGACCTTGCTATTTCATCCCAATGCAGAAGTTGCTGGAACTGTTCTTTGTACTGAGGAGAGTTAGGTAGGTCCCTGGGACAGAAGTTTGGGCCCAGCTTTCTCTACTGTCTTTTCTCAGGGTTCCCTTTCATTGGCTTCCTTCATTTCTTATAAACAGCAGTGGAGTAGGTGGGACAGAACTTATCTTTCCCTTGTAGTTGTTAAGTGCCGTTGAGTTAGTTACAACCCATAGCGACTCTGTATAGGGTTTCTGAGAAGCAGCTGGTGGGTTTGAACCACCGACCTTGCGGTTCAAGTATAGTACATTAACCCGTAGTGCCACACCGGAACTCCTTAGTGCCCAGCAAATGGATTTGGTGGATGCTGTGTTGGGTTGTCATCTTCAGTGGGTCCCCTGCCCTTCCCAGAGTGGGCACAGGGATCGGTGTGACACAAGGTAAAATAAGCAACACTGAGCTGCGTCCCACCGTGGGCACAGGTGAGGCCCTTCCTCATGACTCCCCAATCTGTGTGTGTAACCCCAATCCCATGTGCTTGCAGACCTACATCGGTTCCATCATTGTCTCTGTGAATCCCTACAAGATGATCCCCGACCTGTATGAACGCACCACCATGGAGCAGTACAGCAGACATCATCTGGGGGACACCTCCCCTCACATCTTCGCCATCGCCAACGAGTGTTACCGCTGCCTGTGGAAACGTCACGACAACCAGTGTGTGCTTATCAGGTACAGACCACCGTGTTCTAAACAGTGTGTGTATGTGTGTGTGGTGATCTGCAGAGCCAAGTCGCTCTCCCGACACCCTAGCAACCGCCAGGATCCCCACAGCCAGCCCTGGAAACACAAAGCCTGATTTGCTTACGGACTTTGAACGGGAGTGAAAATATTTGCCTCCATAAACGGTTGTCAGTTGAATTTTCATTTTAAGGGCCCAATAAAAGTCTCAAATGGAGTGGTCCGTTTTGAATACCTTAATGGTTGCAGCTTTCCAAAGCTCTGGGTAAGGAACGCAGTGAGGAGAACAAAGTCACACCGTTTGCTGGCTGGTGCCCTCAGTAAACTACTCCCTGTCACCGATGTACTTCCTTTCATAAGCCGCTGGTTTATTTGAATTACGAGATGTCATCCTTCTGTTTATTTAAGGAAATATCACATGATTCTCCATCTGTATTCTAGAGTGCTAGTCACGTGCTATGTATTTGAATTCTGCTTCTTTTTTTTTTTTTTGTGACAGCATTACTCTAGATAGACTCTCCCAGAATGAAAGACTTTTTAATCATCTTAATAGGATGTTCCAAAAATTTCAGCTGCAGGAAGGTGGCATGCTAAAGACATGTTAAGGTCACAATAGAAAGTCACGCATATTTTCATTGTTTTCCGTGGTGAGTGAGAAGAAACATGTAACTATTTCAGGAGAGTTTTACTCTTTATTTATTCAAATAAACTAACAAAAATTAAATTGCTTTTGTTGTTGAGCGTGTACTCTGCAAAACATCACCAATTGTAGAGTTTCTACATGTGCCATTTAGGGACATGAATGGATGGCATTCTTCCAATTCTGCTCCCATTTTCTGTTTTCTCAAGATTACTGTCATCACCGTGATCCTATATGGAGAATTCTTAAACATGCTTACGGCAGGTTTCGGTTTGGTTTTTTTCTAATTAAACTATTGTCGTATTTAAGAAAATGTCAGGGAATATTTTTGGTTCTAGGTTTAAAGATGATCTTAGAACAATAGTTTCAGGAGTTCGTCCAGCCCCCAGGGCTCCAGAAAGTCTGGTGCTTACGAGCATATGAAATTCTGTTCGGCATGACCCCCCTGTTGATCAGGATCCTTCTGTAGCATCTTTGATCACAATGCTCTAACAGTATTCGGGCACCATCGTAGCGGAGGAGGCAGTTGTTCATGAAGATAATGAACCACACAGTCCATGTTGTTAACTGCCGTGGACACATCCCATGTCTTCCTGGTCACCAGTCCATTTGTCCTCTGTTGCTCCAGGCCAATACACACAAATTCCTGGGCCTTGGATGGTCATTGACAACTTTTTAATACCACAGTCCCTACACAACACTAGGAGATAGAACAGAAGCACTAAGCATGTCATTAGGCCATTTGACCAGGATGACCCATGAAACCATGACCCTGAGCCTCCCAACCAGCTTCCTGTTCTTTATCAGGATTAGGTAAATGTGAATGACTAAAGAGGATCTCTTCACTCCTTCCCTCTGTCCCCATCCCATCTCTCTGTGTCTCTCTCTCATTTTGAGGGATAGGAACTTCTGGACAGGTGTGTTCTCTCTTCCCTCGGGCACCTGAACATTGCTAAGGTGCTGGGCTAACCTAACAATTTGAGTGTTGATCTGTCTCTTCTGCAGTGAAGCAGATGTGGGGCATTACCAAGGAAGCTGCTTGCAGTTCATCAAGATGAAATGACTTAACTAAAGACAGGAGTCCTGGTGTGGTGCTGTGGGTTAATGTGCCAGACTGCAAAGCCTTTTGAACTGCAAGGTCAGCAGTTCAAGCTCGCAAGTCGCTCCTCAGAAAACCTATATACGGTCGCTATGGGTCGGACTCATTGACTTGACAGCACTTAACAACAACAACAACAACACCTAAAGACAAGCAGAGCCTTTGGGAGCCCCAGCCCCAGGAGAATGGCCTGATGCCCAGAGAAGCTGTTTATGGGCATTCAGATTACATCAATGAAAGTCCAAGTTAGAACTGAATGATGCAGAAAGCATCAAAAGAAGATGGAAGGAATATGCAGTCACTGTACCAAAAGGAAATGGTTGATGTTCAACCGTAGCATATGATCAAGCGCCAATGATACTGAAGGAAGAAGTCCAAGGTGCACT